CAGTAATTGCCACAAATTCCACTTGAAACAAAGCTAGAATCATAGCCAAATTAAAGCTTGAACATACCTTGATTGTTCCTTGATTCTTGCTTGATAATTTTTAGCTAAAATCTATGTGAAGTTGGCTTCCCAAAGTTAGATTTTTTGCAGCAAAATCTCCCCCTTCTTAGTGCTAAAGAAAACAAAATTGAAGGTTTGTGGGAGGGGTATTTTTAGACTTCAAAGTGGTCTCCTCTTCCTTCCAAGTGTCCCTTAAAAATCTAGAGTTTTTGGGACATGTAGACACCTTAAAATACTGGAGAAATATGGGAGTTTACAAGTATTCCTTAAGAGATAATGTTTAGGATAATATCAAGGGAAAAAAAACTGGACCAGACCAGCCAGTTCAACGAGAAAACTAGTGCACAGGTGGCTGGTCTGGTCTAGTTTGCTAAAAAAACCACTGAGGAATTGAACCATTTTTAAGCTGGTTCAACCGGTAATAACTGGTCAAAACTGGGTAACCCACCAGTTAGATAGGTTGCCCTGGTTTGTAATATTTTATTTTATTTTTTAACTTCAATTCGTCGAAACGACATCATTTAATATTGAAGAATTAAACAAAAAAACAAACAGCCAGGTCAAAATCGAAGGCAAGGCTCCCTGCTCATTGCTCAACCCCCAGTTTCTGTTTTGGCTTTTAGCCATTATTCTTCCCTCCCCAAATAGAAAATCCCTGGCTGAATCCACCCTCATTGTGCTGGAGATTTGATTCATGACATTTATCCAAAGAAACCTCATGCCCACAATAGTCAAATAGCCATTTATATATCTTGAATTTTATTTTTAATTAGTGATGTTATGTTATCCGAGCTAACGACATAGCAATGACCCCCTAATCGTGATATTTGATCTTTGATTTTTTTTGATTTGTCATTTAGTAACAGTAATGGATATTTCAAGTAATCCAAGTTCAAGAAATGACAATATGACTCTTAATACGGGATCTTCCACTCCTAATACTGAAACTTCCACTCCCACACCCACTTCTTCATTACGTACCAAAACAAATCCTGCATGGGCACATTTGCATACAAAAAAAGAGGGGACACAAAATATATATACTTGTCTTTTTTGTACTAATAGTTATAGAGGAGGTGAGATAAATAGGATGAAGCAATATCTTGCTAGCATCACTGGTCAAATAGCTTCTTGTAAGAAAGTTCCACATGATGTGTGTCATAGAATGTCTGAATCTTTGAAAGAATGTCCAAAGAAAAAAGCTGTTGAAGACTTAGAAGAGGATGTTGAAAAAACTCATGTTGATTCACAAATTATCATGAGTACTTCAAAGAAGAGGAAAGCTACTGAGAGTATGGACAATTATTTTGCTCCTAGAACAACTCTTGATTCCCAACCAGGTATTAAAAGTGCATTACTAACTAAAGAAGCAAAATATAATGTGAAGATGCTGATTGCTGAATGGGCCATTGTGAACTGCATTCCATTTAAGGCATTTGATTGTTCTTTATTTTGAAAAGCTGTGGATGGAATTGCTTCAATTAGGCCTGGGTTTAAAGCCCCTAATGCTTATGATTTCAAACCAATTTATTGAGTGATTGGTGAAAAGAATGTCAATTACTTATTGATTGCCATCGAGCTAAATGGAAAAACAATGGCTGCACACTCATGGTTGATGATAGTATACCAGAAGGTGTTCAATATAGAGGTCATGAAGCCCAAATAACAATCATTCAGTTAGAGGCCCAACAAGCCCTCCAAAGTATTCAAGTAATTTATGACTCAAGAATGCTTATATAGAGGAGGACATGGATCATTGCTTGGATAATGATATGGATAATTACAAATACAAAGCTTGAAGTGACATGTGATAGGCCACCCTGAAAGCCACCATGGCATGTAGGTCATTGGAGTATGGACACTTGGACCTTGAAGAAGACAAGAGCACATTCCTATGTTATTAAAGGCCCAACATAATTATATGTGCCTGAAGGAATCCATTGGAGCTATACTATTTTAAAGTGGGGCCCAAATGTATTGTATTATGGACCATGAGAGTTTCAGAACATGATTAAACCATATTCAAGCCCAAATGGATGTCTAAAAGGCCTATGCATGCTTATGGACGTGAATAGCATTTATGAAGATCCTTTGGAACGTCCAAGAACATTCAAGAAGGTCAAGCAGGCATCATTATGAATTGATTATGAATTAAGTTTGTTTTTTTGGTCAAGGATTGTTCTAGAAGATCATGTTTTGATCTAGTTTCCTATTTTCAAATAGCAGACTTGTTCTTGAATTTTGAGTTATTTTCTTTTATTTCTATATAATAAATGGTGCCTCCCATAGTCAAATAATCATTAATGAGGCATCATCCCTAGCATTTATGTCTTAAGATGCCGATTTTACAGTGTTCTATGGTTGCTTATATATAGGCTACATTTTTTTGTAATTGAATGTAGACTTAGATGAATAAGAATTGAGTTCATTTCTCTCTGTGTGAGCTTTAATTAGATCCTTGTATTCTCGTGAGAATACTCGACAGTATCAAGGGATTGATCAACCTTGTGGTGCATTCATGGCTAGGGTTGTAAGAGACAGGTTCTCTTAAGGTCTTACCTAGATCAACCATCCATTTGTTACTTGATTCTAGCCTGTTCGTATGTCCCCTCATATCAGCTGATGGATAGACTGATGTTAGACAACGCACTTTGATAAATTTCTTAGTGTATTCTACACACGGTATGGTATTTGTGAAATTTGTTGATGAATCAGATCTAGTCAAAGATTCTACATTGAAGAAGAAGAAAGTTATGATCTAATTGACTATGAAAACATTGACATGGTGGACTTTTGGGTGACTGAAGAAGATCCTACCCAAGAGTTTGATGATAGAGATGTGGCTGCACTTGAAAGTGTCCTTAACAATGAAGGCACTACAAATTCAACAACTTTTGATAGGGATAATTGAGGTTTATATATATAATTAAGACTCTATTAGTATTCTTAGATGAATATATAATTATTTTCATAATCATTAATATTGATTATTGTCTTATATAGGTGATGAAGATATGGATATTGCTAATCCTCCACCTTTGCACGATGATATTGTTACTCCTACTTTTCCTCATCCAATTGTTGACATTTCAGTCAATGCTCTTACTGATGATCTTAATGATGATTTTAATTTTGCATAGTCATAAAGATATGTATTTTTATTAATATTTGCTTGGTACAATCAAACATTTAAACTACTTTTGGAACTATCTTTTTTTGAGTGATTATTATTTATGAACTCTGTTCTATTTTAATATTGTAAATTAAATTGTATTATTTTAATATGGCTCGTCTCACCTCCTGTCCGACCAGTGACCCTTGACCCATTTGTTTCGACTGGTTTAGTTCCCGGTCCGATTTTTTGTTCCTTGGATATATCATATGATATTTTGCATTATTTTGTTCCATAATCATGTGCAACACTTAGGCCACAAAATTACTATTCATTCCTGGCCCAAAATAATGTCCAATGGGCAGGAGAAAGAAGAAAGAAGCGTCACTTTGCATTTCCAAACATTTTTCTACCCGATTTCGCCGTATTGGCTAAAATTTCTTTCTAATTTTCAAAAATATTTATGGACCTTCACAAATTCATTTCTTCTCATCAAAAATCATATTTTAATATAGGAAAGACCTCTAAAAATTTTCAGAATTTATCTCAACATCTAACTATTTATTTTGAATTTTCTCTGAAATCAGGCTTTACCAATAAGATTTCAGAAATAAATATTTTAAAATTAATTCTTTCACTTTCAGGGCCTGGAAACAATTTTATAAACTCAATAAATCCTTAAATAATTTTTTCAAAATTTTTCATGAATTATTGAGGCCTTTATATATTTAAAAGAATTGTTTCGGACTAATTTTTTTATTGTTTTTCCTGATAAACCTTTGTTTACAAAAATTTTTGTAATAAATTATTTTTATGCCATTTTGACCTCTAGGGCCTCAAATATGGTTCCAAAATCTCTAATTTACCTTTTTACCATTTTCTAAAAATTTTCTCAAATTTTCTATTTTACCCTTCCTGGATTGAGGATTTCAAAAACATCAGTCCGGACAAGAGTCGGATCTTAATTCAAAGTTTTTTTGTCTCTGAGTTTACTTCACTACTTGACCCTCTATTTAATTTATTATTCATATTTTTAGGGTTAAAATTGGCAGGATGTGATATACCTCATGTCCGTTTGGTCATTTTATTTATTTATTTTTGACCAAGAGTCATTTTACTTATCTGGATAACCTTTTTATCTATTTGAATTTCAATGAATATTTTCTAATCATTTTCCCTTTTGCTATCATTTTTCTTCAAAAAATTTTAATTGCCTTTTCTTTTGTTTTCCCCCTCTCTTATCCTTGCATCTTATATTTATTAAAATTTTATAACATTATTTATTTTTTAAAATTTAGTTTATTAAAATCTGCGTAAAATCTAGTATTGGTTTGATGGATGGCCAGCACTGTTCGCCTTTTTTAACATAATACTACCTCCGGTCCTTAATATAAGACCCTGTTTGACTTTTATTTTGGTCCTAAATATAATACCCCAATCTACTTTGTCTCTCATATTTATGCATTTTTTCCAAAATAGTCTTTCTAATAATTGTAGTTTTAGCCAATATAGTTGATTAGTAGAGATATTTTAGGAAAAACAACACCTATTTATTACAAATAACTAACTTAACTTCTTTCCTTAATCTCCTCAAAATAGTCAACTGGGTTTTATAATTAGGACCGGAGGAGGTAGTAATAATAATTGCTCTATTACCCGAAAATTGGGACCAAAATATCCAAACTCTGAAGAGGAGAATGAATCTTGTATTTTTGACCGGAAAAAAAAAAGAAAGAAGAAGGAATCTCGTTTTATCCAATATCTTGCTCCCCGGATCTTCCCACTTCAAATTCATTCCAAATTTTCGTTTGCTCCCAACGCCGAAACCTAAAAGCATGTCCACCATTTCTTCTTTCACATTCATAAACTCCAATTCCAATATCTTGTTCCCTTTTCCACTCTCTCCAGCCCCTCCTCCATCTTCTCGTACTTCCTCTGAGTTGCAGTTACTCCATCCTTCTTCACATTACCCTAAATTGCCTTCCACTTCTGTGATTCGCTCAATTTCTTCAAGAAAATCTCTAATCCACCTTTGTTGTAAATCCCCTGAAGCGGAAGAGCTGTACTCGCCGGAAGACGAGTGGCTCCAGAAGCTTCCCGATAAGAAGAAGCCCCTTTATTCGCACAGCTTACCTTGCATTGAGGCTTGGTTGCAGAATCTAGGTTTTTGTCAAAGCAACGACGATAGGGCTCTTTGGTTTATTCAGAAGCCAGATTGGCACGCTCAACTCTCTCTCGACATCACTGACCTCTATATAAGGTGTGTTTTTGGTTCGTAAAAATACAATTGAATTACTTTAGTCCTTGGACTTATGCACTCTCGGATTATATTATTCACTGGTGACTAAATATCATATGGCAAGTTGCAAATTGTAAAATTCTGAATTATTAATTTGTACATAAGTGTGAGGCATATTTTCCAGGTGTCATACTCGTGTGCCTTTTGTGGAGTTTTAAATGATTGAATTGATAGTGAAAGTCGGGTGTCTTACCTTAAACCTTGTGCATAAACTGACTGCGTTTTGGTTTTTCAAAGCACAAATTCTGATTCATGGATGTTTTCCATCGTTTCTGATTCAATTGAAGTTATGATGGATGTTTTCCATCGTTAAGTATTACCGTAGAATGCTTTGTATTTAGTACTTTGTTTACCTGCTTATTGTTGGAGGAGCATCCTGCTAGTGCATGTCAATAATTTGTATATGATGCCCAAGATCAAATAATAAATCGGTGAACTAATCTCACAATGAGGGAGTTTTATACGGATGTGCTTAATCAAATTAGCAGAATACTGCTGAACTGTGACTGGGCATGATTATGCAATAAAGAATATAGACTAGTATAGTACTTATCTGATGGCATTGAAACTTGAAGAAACATTTGTTCCTTGGTTTTGGCTCTTGTGCTTATCTGATGACTTCTATCTACCATTATTTTATTGCTTTATCAGTCACTCTGCTGAAACTAATGAATTTTTATTTGTTTCATCTGCTAACTTCAACTCTCTCTGACTCTCATTTTGTTTTTTGTTTTTTTTTTTTTTTTTTTTGTTTTTGTTTTTTTTTTTTTTTTTTTTTTTTTTTTTTTGGTTTTTGCCTGGACTGGGAAGCTAGCTTCCTTTTACAGTGTTAAAGCCTATATATGAATATTCATAAGCTGGAACAAGTAATATATGTGAACTACAGAACGCAAGATTTGGGTTAAACTCCAATATTGATATTCATGTGCATGATTCGCTGAAAGTTGTTATTATTGAAGAAGAAAAATTTGACGCTTAATTTTTGCATTGAGAATGGCGAATTTTACAATGCTGCATTGTTTATCGACTGTTACCTGCTTTCTGATGAAAGATTCCTGGTTATATTTACTAGAAGGTTGAATGGAACTACTGACCTATTCGTCCTTTTGAAATTTTCTTGTACGAGTAAATGTAGGGAAAACAAAAAAGTTCTCAGAATGATATGAATAGTTGCTGTCTTATGCAGAAACAAACTATGCCTAGCCCTTTTTATGGTCTAATGTTACTAAGAAGCCTTTGAGTTAAATTGAAGATGGAGGAATTAAGCTTTTTTCTCTCTAATCGTTATCGTCACTTTTGTTATTATACTGTGAGTTATTGCAATACTAGGAAATCTGCCTGAAGTAGTTTATTATCAGGCACATGGTATGACATCATCATTTTCCAAATTCCAACCTTTACTATAACAAGTACTATAACACTTTTTGGCTTGGTGTTAGATTCTGTGCACTCTGTTTCGGGATGGATATATCAATACTTCCATGCAGCACTTCCCAAATTTTCAGGAAATTTCCTTTGGCATTTGTTATGTGATTGAAGAGGAGAAGAATTAGAACAATATGTTGCTACCTCTGGTTCTTAATATAAGAGCTAACTAGAGATTAGATTTGGCCCTAAATATAAGATCTCGATTTATTTTGTCTCTTAAATTTATAATTCATTCTCTAAAATGTCACTGTTAATTACGAGTATCAATCAAGAGAGTTTACATCCAAGGGTAGTCATGCTGTATTTGTCTACGACTTCTGATACGAGTGGTTTGACTGTTTATATTATTGCATGCATGCTCTACTTTTTGTACTTTAAATTTTTCTTTGAAGCTGAAAGAGATGGATACCGAAGAGCATATAGGAAGAGGGACAAACTCTACTGCGATTGGCAGACAAATACGTACATTTGACTTTGTCTGGCGGTGGTTAACTTGCTTCCATAATTTGATTTTCTGTGTGGAAGCTGTGCCTCCCTGATTACATCCTTTATGCTACTGATCATGTTGTGAGCTTTGCATTTGATAAAACTTTTTGGTACTCTCATAGGAACTACGGAGATAGAGTATCGAGTAACTTAATTATGATTTCAATATGAAAATTAGAAAGCTGTTAAATACTAACTGATAGGGGAAAAATCCATCAAAACAGGAGCTAGAAAGGATTTCATCGACTTTTTTTGATGGAATAGGATTTCCTGTTGCAGAATGAAGATTCGATTATTGTGCAGGTATTTGAAGAGTGGACCAGGAAACCTTGAAAAGGATGTGGAAAGGAGGTTCAGCTACGCTCTGAGCAGAGAAGACATAGAGAATGCTGTCCTTGGAGGACCATAGCCATTTTATTTTCCATATTTTCCACCATTTTATTTTCCAGCTACCAAATATATGTATATTTGACTAAGGCTCCCGAAGTTAAAGTACCCTATCATGAATGGAAAAAGATGGTGTTTTACAATTTGACTGGGAAAGTGGGATTCAAAAGTAGATTTCAAGAATTATTTAGGCTGTTTGGATTGGTAATAGAAAAAGTAGTTTATTTTTAATTTAACTTATGAAAAAATTAGATTGGATAATGTGATTTATGTTTAAAGGAGTTTTTATAAGTAAGTTAGTTTGAATGAGTAAGTTGTTTGGATTATGATTAAATAAGCAAATTTAGTTTGTAAAGTTACCAAAATCAATATAACTTTTAATAAATAATAAAAAATTGAAAAATTATTAATTTACATAATATAATAATTTTAAATTATTTATAAGCTCATGTTTGTTTTATTTATAGGACCTAAATTTGAGGGGGTGTGATTTACTTTATAAGTTTTAATTTGGATTTGTATTAATATTTAATGTGTCTTTTTTTTTTGGTTGCCAAATTTTGTCCTAAATTATTTATTATCTTCTTTGCCATATTCTTTCTTATTACATTTTTTTCATATATATCTGTTTAAATTTTCTTCTCATTCATTATAAGGGAATATTTGGAAATAAAACTATATTTCTAACATTTATTACTTTTAGTTAATTTTAATTGATTTTTTTGTTATGGAGAATCCTTATATCTATTATGTCAAGTTCCTCAATTGTGTATGGCTATGTATTCATTTTTGTTTAATATGGATTTATAATTAAATGTTATTAAACATTAATATTTTAAAAATAGAACACATAGTAATGTTTAATTAAAGAATTTGACATGATGGATATAAGAAATTTGATGTAAGTATTGTCTTTGTTATTCGCAAATTAGTTATTTGAGACTTATAATAAGAACAAGAAGAAGTAGTAAACTTCTTAAAGATGGGACCTATTTTTTTAAAAAAATTTTGTCCTAAATTATTTACTATTTTTTTTTTGCCATACTCTCTCTCATTACATATTTTCATACATTTTTTAATCTTTTTTTTTCATTCATTATAAGTGTATATTTGAAAATAAAAATATATTTCTAATCTATTTATTACTTTTAGCTAATTTTAATTGATTTTTGTTATTTACAAATTAGTTATTTAAGGTTTATAATAAGGACCAGAAGGAGTAGTAAATTTTTTAAAAGTAGCACTCAACTCTTTTTTTAACTTTTGCTCTATGTAAGCTTCAAAGAGCAAAAGCTAAAAGTTAAAAGTCGTAAGCACCAAATTTTTGCTTATAACTTATTGTGACTTTTTATATAAAAATCAAATTATCCCATCACTAACCCAAACATTGCAATTTTATGGGTTGCACGTTTTCTCATTCAATCGCACGTTTAGATGCCTAAACATCCTCACACGGACTCTTGGACGCTCAGCGGTGCTATGCAAGTTCGGAAGTTGTAGTTTTATTATTATCTAGGTCACAATGTTATTTTGGTCCCTTGACACGTTATTTTGATTTCTTTTGATCCTTGACTTTTTCAACATCACCATAAAATCATTTTCCCTCGTTTGGAGTAATTTCAAAAATGATCTGTCGATGGTTAGCAATAATATCTTTTGTGATAATCATTTTTTCCTCGTATTAAAAGACTATCATAGTTTAAAGTTGTAATGAATATTGTTGGAATAAAACTTAATCTACCTTTGGTGGATTAGGCCCAAGCCCAAGAAGCCTTGGGTCTAGTTGGGATTTATTGAAAGATCAGGGGTAGATATTGGTAGAATATCTAATCTTCATTTTGAATTTTTGGTAGGAACAGTTATTAGGAGTGGGAGTACGTGCATATGAATATATGTATGATGAAAGATAAGTGCACTGGCTTTCTGCTATTTCTCTTCCTCGATAGATTTTCTGTCCAAATTCTTTCTCTTGGTGTATTCACTGTAAAACCATAAGTCTGTCTCTATACCTATGAACAGACTTTGTATAGGTAGAAGCATATAGAATATCACTTTTAGGTATACCCTAAAATTCCTCATTGGTATCAAAGCTAAGAATGATCCTGAGATTTTGTTTTTAGCTTTTACTTTGTCCTCCTCTACATGATGTGTTTAGATCCTGTGCCTGCGTTTTTTTTTTTTTTCATTTTCTATTATTATTCTACATTCCAATTGCCTTCTTCTATTAAGATACATATTGAGATGAGAGTTGCTTTCCTTAATTCCAGCAAATCCTTATATATCCTTTTAGTTTTTTAATTTCCAGCTCTTTAATATATGTTCCTTTGTTTTTGTTTTCGTTTTTTTTTCATTCTTCTCACTTGTATATAAGTTATTTGATGTTAATAAGATACTTTTAAATTTATTGAAGCAAAAGAAAGAGGCGTAGAGGAACTAAAATAGTGAATCGAAACTGAATAGTTTAGTTTTTGAAAGTGGGTCTTTCAAGAATCAACTTTTTTGTTGTCCAAATTAGTTCTATTGTGTAGAACTCCAAACAAAAAAACAAAGACAATGACACACACAAAAGACGGGCATCAAATAGTGAAGATATGGAGGAGAGAAGCTATCAGACCCGACCCTGTTCATAGCCGGGTCGCCCACAACCCGGTTGGAGGTTGAAGACAACCTCAATGGTGAAACAATGTCGTTTTATTGAAGTTCCTTCAACCCCACTTAGCAAAATGATACGCGTTACTAAGTGGAAATTAAAAAAAAAAATCTTTAAACAGCCCAATTTGCTACAAGGCTGAGAAGGTTTTTAGGCCGAAAAAAAATAAATTGACCTATTGCTTTCACGAAGCCCAGGGTAGATTTTTTTTAAAAAAATGAGGCCCAACAACAGATTCTGGCCCATGAGAATAAAATAATAGTTATTAAAATATATTTTAAAAATAAAATAAAATGAAATAATAAGAAAAGGGCCAAAACTATCACATGGCACGTAACACCACATGGCAGGCCTATTAACCATATGGCCACTGTCATTGAAGTGGCGACAATGCATGGAAACCGTATGACTCTTAGGTGTTGCGGTTAGCAGCCTCCATGGCTATGCGTGAAAAGCACGTGTTGGGTTTGAAAGTTGGCTTCACCAGACTTTTTTTCATTTTCTTAAGGATTTAATCTTCTCGAGGTACTTGTAGGTGCGTGAGACCTTTATTTGAGGTGCGATTTGTCTCTTAAAATTTCTAAATTTATGATCTTGACTATGACATATGATTTTCCTATTTTAGATGAATTTTACGTTTTTTTAAAAAAATTCTTAAAATTAATTTTTAATTCAATTTTTTTTAGGTAAAAATGGAACAAGAGGCTTCATTTGACATTGAAACTGATTTTTATGGTTCATTTAGTATAAAATACATGGATGATGTGTCTGCAATATGAACTATTAAGTGATGACTTTGAGGAGGCTCTAAAGATGAAACCGGAGGAGGACCTAGAGATGGACCCTAAGTTGGACCCAGAGATGGACCCTGAGGAAGATCTAGAAATGGACATTGAGGAGGACCAAGAAATGGACCATGGGGAAGACTTGGAGATGGACATTGAGGAGGACCCTGAGATGGATCTAGAGGAGGATACCGAGGAAGAGGATCTTCTTGAGTATCGTCCTGTGGAACACATGCAAGAACTTCAAGAAATTTATATAGATTTCGACCTAGCATTAACAACTTCCTATCCTTATGGACCTCTTGAATAGGACAAAGAAGTAAATCAACTTGTCACTCCTGCTTTGGGAAGAAAGATAGCGAAGTATGATGCAAGAAGAATTAAAATTGTCAGGGAAATAAATAGAGTTCTTAAAAGATATGTTATAAGCATGTATAACACTAAAAGCATTAACTTTTACACTAACATCATGATGATGTTTTGTGAAGAAGTTAGAGCTAAAAAGAAATGGAAGCTGAATGATACTTGGGTGTGTGTAAAATGTAGTAATTGAGAATCACGTCAAATCACCCAAGCTTAGAAAGGCTCTTGTCGATTTTTACACAGACATTTGAATTTTTGTGTGTGTAATGTTTCTTATTTTATGGTTTCTATACAAAGAGACATAGTTCTTTGTAATGCTTTTAGTATTATGACTTGACTTACATGCAAATTTGTTTAATGTTTTGGCATTTATTGAAATATCTATCTTGAGTAGGAGCTTTTAGGAAATAAACCTTTTAAAAGTTATATGTTTATTATAGAGCACTTATATTTAAAATTTTTGATAGAATCCAATGATAATGCTAGACTATATGAAATGGGAGGTATAAACGTATGCTTCTGATTGTAGACCAAGTATTGTCATTATTTGCTAGTTAGGAATACTATAAGTACAAAACATTATATACCGCATTAATGCTGTATAATTATTTAAATGTCTTTTAATTTTTTTTTTGGGTTCTTGTATAGGGAATAATCTTTTCATATGGAATAGCTTTGTCACAGAATTGAAAATGGAAACCAAAAACATCATAGCTGAACTGAATAAGGGTGAAAAACTTAATGAGGACAACTAGGATATCTAGCACAAAAAGGTGTAATACAATTTAGAGGAACAAGAGGCTTTAGAGCCCTTGGCCATCCTAATGAAGGAACCTGAAGCTGGGAATACGGCTCAACATTGAAAGATCAAGAGCTCTTCCAAGCATGGAAGAAGAAAAACCACATTGCTAAAATCACTCTACTGAGCGTCATGGCTGACTACCTCATGTGTGAGTTTGAAAAGCATGATACTGTTCAAGCTATGTGGATAGCCCTTAAAGACAAGTTTAGAGGTATGTCTACAAGCAAGCTTAGGAGATTTACAATTAAGTTCGATACTTATAAGGTTAAGGTGAGCACTTTCATAAAGCAGCATCTGAGGGCGATGTTTAATATGATAAGGGAACTCAAAGAGGTTGGGTATGCCTTGATTGATGAGCAATAGGTTCAAGCCGTGATAAGGCTGCTTCCTTCTAGTTGGGAACACATGAAGGTTAACCTTACCCAAAGTATTGTTACTTTTAATGATGTAGCCAAACATCTTAAATTGGAAGATAAGCTTTGGAGGCATACAAATCCTCTAGTTAGGCCTATTATACTGAGGGTATAGGAACTTCTAACTCAGAAGTTCTATAAGAAGGGAAAGAAAGGTGTCTCCAAATTTGAAAAGAACAAGAAGCAGTTCAAGAAGAAAGGCACAAAGGAGGCAAGAAGAAGAAATTTGACCTCAAGAAGGTTAAATGTTATGCTTGCCTTAAGATAAACCATTTTGCATGGGATTTCACCAAGCAAAATGAATAGGCAAAGTTATTAGTG